AATTTTCTTCCAAGTACTTTTAGTGATTCGAATTAAATTTTGAGGGTAAAAGTTACTATAAATACGACATATTTTAAAGCTAAAAAATCGTCGACATGTCCACTAGGAACGTGCATATGAGTTATCACTGGAATATTTTTCTAAAAAAGCATGTGCGCCATTGCTTTTTTTTCTCTTGTCAGCGAAATAGTAAGCAGTTTAATACCGATTAAAATTTGTCTCTTGATATTTTGTCGATTTCGGCCTCTTTGATGAGATAAATGTGACTTTATTAATTTGCCTTGATCAAAGTCTAATAGCAACACTTAAAATTTTTTAATATAATTAACTTGCAAAAGGGGCAACAGGGCAACGGCCCAGCTACGTCGAAACACCGGTTCCCATTAGAACACCGAAGTTAAGCGACGTAAGGCGATGCTAGTGGATGGACGGGTGACCGGTTCGAAACTTTGCATCGTGCTGTTGTCCAAAAGGGAAAAGTGTAAAATCTATTGATACACACTGCTCATTCACGCCGGTTCAAGGCCGGATGAGATCGGATATCTCGTGAGTAAGAGTTAATTTAGACACTTCCTAAGTCGGTAGGCCATTGACCATGATATATGGCCGAGGACCGCGGTTCGGATTCCGCGTAAACAAGTAGGTCCCGTCCAGTTTAGCCATTGCAGCAGAAAGGAGACGTTAACTTGAACCTCAAAAAAAAACTTGCAAAAGTTTTAAATAAGTACTCGTTGATTCCTCATCAAATTTCTGTTTGTGTTCTTAAGAATTGTTTCAAGATTAAGATGTGCTGAAAAAAGTGAAGTGCTTACTTCTACTCTATTTAAAAAGGAGCTGGAAGAAAAAAATAAAACAAAGCTGATAGAGTTAAGAAAAATTTAAGTCAAAATGCAATTCTCGCTGAAAAAAACAGTTGCACAAGAACAGAAGAAGCAAAGAACACATAAAGAGAAGACTAAGGATACCCAGGAAACTTATTGTATCGTTTGTCATGAATGTTTCGACGAAGACTAGATTCAGTGTTGTAAATGTAAAAACTGGACCCATGAAGCTTGTTTTGGCTTTGAAAAAGATCAAATGTATTACATATGTGATCTGTGATGAAATTTTTGTTTTCTGCGGCAATATCCACATTTTTTTCTGTCGGATATTAACCGCCAATTTTTCGGAATTTTGAAATGTGTTTTTTTCTTCAGATAATTTTGTACTGTTATGTTGTTTTTAATATTTATGTTTGTTAGTTTTTAAATGTGTAAGGTAAATGTAAAACAATCGAAGGGTACAGAGGAAAACAGGTTTTCGCTATTAGAAAAAAAAATTGATAGAAAAATCAAAAATTTATTGGTAAATGGTCATGACTTAGCCCGTTTTTTCCCTGAACACTTTTGTATTTTGAAGTATTTTATTTCACTCGATAACCAGATTTATGCTTACATAAATAATATAGAGAAACAGAACAAAAACTAGAAAATAATAATAAATTAATGTTTTGATTTGTGTAAAAAAGTAAAAAAGTTTTTTACCTTGAAATTTGTTTTATAGGAGAGAAGTCACCTCAATTTTCTCAATTAATTATGCACCAGTGAGATAAAATGCTCCTGAGCTTCCTTTTCACAAAACTTTTTCAAACTCTGCAAATTGGCAAAACGATTAAAATGGCGACCAGAACGCTATCAAATAGGCGCGTAAAAACTATCTTTAGAACAAAATTTAACATATTTTCTATCAGATGACATTATTATCTCAATTTCGCTAAAAATTGACTTAGCCCGTTTTTCCCCTGTACTCTTCAATCGTTTGAATATGATTTTGTTGCAGAACTTTGTTATTAAAGGTATGTCTTGCGATGATTTGTTATCATGCCCGATACTGCCCGACTTTCCTCTACCTATAATATTTGTACCAAATTATTAGCCTTCGACAATGTCGAGATTGACGCGTCAACAAATCAATTGTCGACGTGACATTCTCGACATCGCCCAACTCTGATAGTAAGACGGATCTGAGTAAAATACACAATTGCATAAACTGTTTATCCTGTTACGTAAATACCGAAACCGTATCATTTCTGTTTCTGATTTAATAACAAACTAGTTGCGGAGATCCATTTCCCGCATATCTGATAAACCGTTCTCTATTGATTGTAGGGGACGCGGAATGGTACTTATTCAGGTACCACAGCTAAGTAAGTAAGTCTCTCTCCCGCGCCGAAACCTGCTCATTACCGAATGCTCGTTCCTGCTAACTAAACGCCCAACGTTTGTCAGTTTACCGTTGGCTGCCGGTATTATTCCGTTTCCAATTTGCATCCGCGCAGAATACCTATATCTGCTGGCTCCATCTCGCTACCCAGTTCTCTCGTTTCGCTGCCGCTACCAATTGCTGCGCGCTATTTTTTTCTCTCCTGGTGTGCACCGCTTTTCGTAAACGATTTACAGTTAGGGCAAAACATCGGTTCTTGGACTTGGATGCTAGTGGTGTAGGTCGGAGGAATATCGAGGAAATTTTAATAGACGAATTTGCCTCGGATATGCGAGGGTTGTGTTTTATATTTTGCATATAGAGGTAGAAAAAAAAACATTACATAACTTTTAAACACTACTGTTTTTCGAATGAATGATCGTAAACTAACAGGTATAAAGTGTAACTGAAACCACTAATTTATTCCATTAATTACGAGGTTCCGAATGGAGCTTCTATTATGGAGTTCCTACTATGAAGCGTCTATGGGGCGTCCTACTATGGAGCGTCTATTACGCTGTACTGTTCGGGTCGCTCTCAGGGGTCGGCTAAAGCGGGTGTGTATGGCCGAAGGAAATATATACAAAGTGGCCCATCGAAAACGTTCCGCAAGGCATAACGGCCAGGGTATGTTTTTTTTCAAAAAATCCAAAAACACGTCAATTTTGTTTGTAAGGGGGACAACTTTTGCCCCAAAGATGATTGCAAAATCTTCAACCCTCTAAGCGGGGGTGTCATCCCCCAACTTTTTTCAAATAGGAAGGGGGGTCAAGTGGCACTGCAATGAAAAGATTGAAATGAAAAAAAAATGAAAATGATTTTTATTCTCTATATTTCCCCGCTTCGTTTTTGAAAATCTGTGGAGTCGTTGAGAAAATATGAAGGATTGAAATTTGAAAAGTTTATTTAAACATTTATCAGAGTAAATGATAATGATAAATTTCTTCGACCAATTTGCTGTTTTTTTTCTTATTATTTCTAGATGTTTACGCATTTTTTCATTTGCCACAAGGTTGAACGATCAGTTGCGGTAGTTGCTAGATAGCTGTTCTTGTGCGTTGAAGTTCTTGAGCGTTGAAACTTGTGCGTTGAAGTTATTCTCAATATCGTTCAACTGACCCACAATAGAATTTACAAAAATACCAGCCCACACGTTCAATTTCTGAGGGTTTTGTGTGTGCACCTCGTGAAAAACTCTGGGGTTGTCCTCAGCCAAGTACCGATAGTTATGCCGATTAACTAAACCGTTCTAAAAGAAATTACACTCATCCGAAAAACACACATTAAATAGGAAATTATTATCATTCGCCACTCGTTCACTCATAGTTTCACAAAATTGCAAGTGACGATCAAAAATCGTCTTCGTTGAGTTCTTGTACCAACTGAATTTTGTACGGGTGGAACTTGTGTTTTTTTAATATACTTTGGACACTTGTACGATTCACGCCGGTCTTATTGGTTAATTTTCTTGTACTCAGCTTACTATCCATGGCAACTTGGCCTAATACGAATATCTCCATAGCTTCATTTACTACAGGATTTTTTCTCTGCCTCTTTTTATTCATAACGGAACCAGTTTCGCGAAATTTTGCTACTACCTCGCGCCATAAAGGTGTTTGTCAGGATGGCGTTCATTGAATATCTGCGCAACCTGATTGCCACGTTCATTATTTTTAAAATAAAGTTCGATTATTTCCACTTTTTCTGCAAGTGAGTACACCATAATTGTTAAAAAGTTTAACGATATTGAGAAGAAATGCAACGCACAAGTCACAGAACAGCTATCTAGTAACTACCGCACCTGACCGTTCAACCTTTTGGCAAGTGAAAAAATGCGTAAACATCTAGAAATAATAAGAAAATACAGCAAATTGGTCGAAGGAATTATTTACTCTGATATTGAATTTTCTGAATAAAAAAATACCCTGGCCGTTATGCTTTGCGGAACGTTTTCGATGGGCCACCCTGTATATTATATTTCAGAAATCTGCCTAAGGCTTAGCCCGATCCTGTCGTGTTAAGCCACATCCAATTTTTTTGACACACTGTATAGGAAAGCTAATAGTGATGCCAAAGTGTTTTTTGTTGTATAAAAACATATTAAGCTAGAGGTTCAAAAAAAATTATGGATCTTAACATAACACTATATATAATGACTTTAATATATTTTTTAAATATAGTTCTAGAAATAAGTTATAAATTGAACTACCCCATAAATGTTGGTGTATATCCATAATTTTATTACTGTCTTCGTATTAATCGCTTCTAAGAATTTTATTAGTTTTGTTTAATCAAAGCCGCATAAATACTACTCGCAACATAGTAACTAATTACATCTGCAATTAACGAGTTTATTAAAATGCTATAAATTTCTTCAGTATGTGTCTGTTTTTTATTTTATGTTTGTTTATATCTGGCTAGAGGCTACTTTAAGACACGGACAAGTTGATCAACGTGGAAGGATTGGAATTAATCAAAATATTTCATTTTTCTATTGACGGTAAACTCATCGGCCTAGTTTTTTGAGCTCGAGAATTAATAAATATTTTTAACACTTCCATTAATTAAATTAATCACCAGTTTAGTCAATTAATTCTTGAATAAGTTTCCACATCTACAGTATTTCTAATAAGGCAGAAAATATAGTTTTTCCTCTACACATACATACGAAAATAGACCTGAACATATAGACACAACATTACAACATTGGAATAACTGGATGATTATTTTCACTTTCGTATATTTTTTGTTATACATACCTTTCTAAATGGCGTTGTACTATAAAGGTCTATCTGAAAAAGAAATAAATATACATTAGTATATCTTTATCTATATTTACTATAAGTAAAATTAAACCAAATGGCATATTACAGTAATTTTTAAAATATTTTAATATTATTTGAATATCTCACCTAATTTTGGAGATAATATAATTTTTTTTCATAGCAACTGTTAAAATTGTCTTAACTTTAGCAGTGAGGATAGGTTACTATACTTTAGCAGCGAGGATAGGTTAAAAACTTTATTTCTTTTCGCACGTTTTTTAATTGCTTCCATTTTTGAAAATTTTTGTATTCCTTTTCATAAGTTATTCGGGATTTAAATGGAAGTAGTTTGGATATGGCGTTTGTTGCCTCAGCCTGAATATTTGTTGGTAATTTACTTATTTCGTTTTGAGCCATTTCTGGCTCCAATTCAATCAGCAATCGACACGAAAGAGAATTAAGAAATATTGCCTCAAAACTGACAACTAAAGAGACAGCTTTATTTATTTGTCAAATTACATAGAAACCAACGCCAACCCAGCACAATATTTTTTCTACTCTTAATAAATTCCTTGAAATAATAATTTCTGAATATTTTTTAAAACGTAACTCGCTATGGAAACAAATATTGTTTTATACACGAGGATAAAATGGTATTTTATCGTCTTGTGTAAAAATAACTATTTTATATATAATAAGACGAATAAAATATTTTTAAATCATCTTTCAAACATTCCATCTGCAAATTCATCTGCAGCAGACTCTGTGGGAAGAATGGGGAAACATCAGAAAACCTCATCACTGAGTGCGCCGAGATAACTTTTACTCTGCAATATAATCAGTTTAAATCTCCAATTTCATAACATCTATAAAATTCTTCGTAATAATTTCGACCATTACACAACAAAGTACCAACTCGTTCCTCCGACAACGTTTCGGGCATTATCATGGCCAGAACTCGACCAAACAACCGGTCGTACCGGCTTACGCGCCAGATTTGACCCCGATCGACTGACGTGATGCACCTGCACCGCGATTTCGGTCTCTCGCATTTTTGGTCGACAAAAGGAACGAACGGCCGCGAAAAAAACAGGCCGATCGAGGCAAAGAACCCGGTTGTTCTAAAGGCCGGTCAGCTGACGGTACCGTTTGCTGTACCGCGACGACAAGGACTCGGTGCCGCGTTCGGTTCCGTTCTTGTGCGAATGGTGACGACGAAGACCAAGACTGAGGTAACTGGTTCAGGCTGCCGTTGTCTTACTTTGACTTTTTCCTCTGAGGAAGTTCTCAGTATAGATTGCACTGATAAATAAATAATATAATACAAGTATATTAACAGAATGTGGAATAACAAGAGAATTCAGAGTCTTATCTGGTATCAGACAGGGAGAAAGCCTTAAGCCATGTCCTCTTCTTCTTCTTAAGGTGCCGTGCAGATTCCTGCGTATGCGTTGATCTTTTTCTTCCTTATCAAATGGTTCTATTAATTGCAGCGACTTGGAGTGCTTGGAAGTCCTGTATGCCTGTCCAATGACGAATATTTCTCAGCCATGATAGCTTCCTGCGGTCTATTCCTCTTTTCCCCCCCTCTATTTTACTCCGGAGAATCAGATGCTGAAAGTGATAGCGTTCTCCACGTAGTATATGTCCCAAATAGGCTATTTTCCTCTTCATTCCTCACACGGTCGACCCAGGGCACTCTTAGCATTCGTCGTAGGGTCCACATTTCGAAGGCTTCAATTTGGTTTATTGTTGCTACCTTCAGTGTCCATGCCTCCACACCATATAACAAAACGGACCAGACATAGCACTTCACCATTCTCTATCTAAAGCCGAAGTTCAAGTTCCTATCTGTGAGAAACCTTCGAAGTTTCAGAAAAGTAGATCTTGCTTGTTCGATCCTGCATTTGATCTCCTGATCTGGATCTCCCGTTTCGTTAACCATGCATCCCAAATATTTAAATTGTGTGACCTGCTTGATGACCTCTCCATTTAAGTAAATTCTGGTTTTTGGAATGTTGTTTCTGCTAACAGCCATAAATTTAGTTTTTTTTTGCTTTCATTGTTAACCTTATTTAGAAGAATTTAGGAGATCATTTGCATTGTCTGCCAACATGACTGTGACATCCGCATATCGGATATTATTGATTGGAATGCCATTTATTTTCAAACCAATGGGACTGTCGGAGATTGACTCAGTGAATGCTCTTTCCACATATAAATCGAACAACATTGGAGATAGAATACACCCTTGCCTTACCCCCTTTTTTATTTCAAAATCTTCAGTTAACCCATGTCACTTTAACATACTAATGGACCAAATAATTGAAAGTGTAAACGAGGTTAATACAGGATTTAAGATGGACAACCCTTACCTGAGAATACTCTGTTAATCACGTGATATAATATAGAGAAATAAATACATGAGCAGAGGGAGTGGCTGAAACAACAGACAGAGAACAACCAAAAACTAAATCGTTTCTTTTCTCAGCCATTTCCTATCAGGACTTTTCTTAATCGTCTATAAAACCGGCCCAATGCCCATAAAAGCCGTTTAAAATCGGCGAGATTGATGACGCGACCGTACAACATATGTGTCCCCCTCGGAAACACTTTTATCGCCTCTTGTTACCGATAACTGTAAGACTAGTAGTAGTGTATATAACCATTCGGACGTTATAGTTGCGTAATCGACGCGGAAAATTGCTTTTCGTGTCCCCGAGGAGCTAGGTAGATGATGGACGGTAAACCAGTCTCGGGACGTGACCCAGTTAAACGGGATACCCCGGGGCTATTTTGGGTATTCGTCCATTCAAATGGGTAGTTAAAGGAATCTTTTTTTATCTAACCGAATTGGAATAGTCTTAAAAAATACAGCATGCATACTTATCAACGGTAAAGTAACCAGATATTAAGAGTTTATTACGCTGTACTTTCGGGTCGCTCTCAGGGGTCGGGTAAAGGGGTGTGTTGCCGAAAGAAATATATATTATATTTCAGAAATCTGCCTAAGGCTTAGCCCGATCCTGTCGTGTTATGCCACACCCAAAATTCAACGTAAACAAAGTATACATCCGCGCAATCCATAACATTTATAAAAACGCAACAAGCGCCGTAAAAATTGGTAAAAATATATCAGCACCCTTCAATATCTCGAAAGGACTTAAACAGGGTTGTTGCTTGTCGCCTACTTTGTTTAAAATTTATGTCAAGGAAGCTCTGGATGTATGGAGAAGTAAATGCTCAGGAATGGGGATACAGATTGGTAATCAGTGCTTGACAACCTTGTTGTTCGCCGATGATCAGGTTATAGTTGCTAATGATGAGGCAGATATTGACTATATGCTCAGAAAATTGAAAGAGGAGTACGCAGAATGGGGATTGAAAATGAACATGACAAAAACAGAATATCTAAAAATGGCAGACGATGGACAAGTAGACCGGAGCTTAGAACTCAGCAATATAAAACAATACGAAGAATACAAATATTTAGGAACTATAATATCTCAAGAAGGAACATCAAACAGGGGCATTCAACATAGAACACAACAAGGGCAGAAATGTATCCGAATTCAAAATTCAGTACTTTGGTCGAATAAAATAAAATTAAAAACTAAAATGACAATCTACAAATCGATAGTAGAGCCTATTGTATCGTACGGGTCAGAATGCTGGCAAATGACTGAAAAAAACAGAAAAAGAGTGGATGTGGTAGAAATGGATTTCTTGAGAAGATCGTGTCAGCTATCAAGAACAGAACATATTCGAAATAAAGATATAAGAAGAAAGACACGAAAGGTATTCACAACTATAGACAACATAGAAACAAGATAACTTGTCTGGTATGGACATGTGATGAGAGCTGGGGAAGACCGATGGTCAAAAAGAGCTATAGAATATGCCCCTAGAAATCGAAGGAGAAGAGGAAGACCAGTGATATCATGGGAAGAACGAATTAGAAAAACAATGAGGGATAGGGCCATTAGAGATGACGAATAGCAAAACAGAGAAAAATGGCGATCGAAATGCGGGATGCGGCAGAGGCTGTAGGACCCCCGCTATATGTATGTATGTAAGTGTCGGTTCTGGGTTCACGAATGACATACCTTCATCTGTTTTCGCCATATCAACGACACTTGTTCTTATCTCCTAGTAAACTGCGTAGTTTCTTTTAATGAAGAATCGTTATGGACATGCATTTCGTTGCTTCAAGCTTTTTCAACGCAGCTTGACTGTTCAAAAAGGCAAGCAAGCACTAAATAGATGTAGAGATCTTTTTATTTATTATTTTGTAAAGATTGTTTTTGCAGACCAATGTATTTTGGTTACAGTTCATATCATCTATTTTTTTATATGTATTATTTTTTTGCTTCGTTATAATATGATGACAATGAAATTATTGATTTTTTTTAGGTTTATGTTCTAAAATTAACAAAATTATTAACATTAGAATAGGACTCTCATTAAGGTAGTAATTTGACAATTTTATTAACATAATTTATTTTTTTAGAACAACAAAAGGGTCAGTTGGTGCATGAGAAAGTCAGTGGTTAAGAAAGTAATTGAAATAAAGGTATAAAGTGAACGTTCGTAGCAAATTAGTGGTTTATAACCCTTTCGCGATTCAAGGTGACTAATTTCATCACTACAATATATGTACATGTATGTAATGTTCACAGTGTCGTTGAATTACATGGATCAGGCTTTAATAAAATTGAATAAAAAAAACTAAGGAACGAGAACAAATAAAACTATAACATCTAAGTAAAATTATAAAGTTCAAAAATAAAATTAGGTACCTTCAAACATCTTTTTAATTGATTGATTTACTGCTTGTTAAATATATAATTATTATTAGTGAAAATTTGTTTCCATTGTTTTGCATTTTTTAGTTTGAGGACGATCGCAAGCTCTATAAGTAATATTTTTGAAGATTCTTTCTGAGTTACAATAATCTTACACACTGTTCTTCCAGATTTGTAATAAAATATAAAATAAAAACAATAAAAATATAATAAACAAATAAA